CCGGGAGGCGGGGATGGGCCCGAGCCTGCTCGAGGGTGGGGAGCCCCAGGCCAAACTTTCTGAAGTTCGGAAGGGGGCAGGGGTGTGCGCGCCGTGGGCTGAGGAATGGGGATGAGGGACCCTGGGCATCGGCGCCCAGCTGCGCCCGAGGGGCAGCTGCCTGTTAGGAAGTGGAGCCTGGGGGTGGAACTCAGTCCTGACACTGAGGGAAGAGCGAGTGAAGAGTGACCCTAAGGGAGAGAACTGGAGAATCCCTGAGGCGTGGCTTCCACAGCCAGGGGTCTGAAGAGAGGGTCTTCTGGAGAGGACGGCAGGGGAATTGAGCTGGTGAGTTGGCCTCAGGCCATTAGGGAATTGGGGACCGGCCACCTCTGACTCTAAGGGAATGGTGACAGCAGCAGCTGGTTTAGTAGAGCCCCAGCCGCTGGAGCAGGGGCAAACCCTGTCCTGCTCAGTCCTCAGGGCCTTGCCTCTAAGGCCTCACTCACTCTCCGCCAGTGTGGTTTCCGCTGGAGGCCCAGGCATGTCTTCCCCGGTGTGGTCAGGAGGGTCCAGTGGGGTCTGAGACCATCCTGAAAGGTAGAGGAGGATAGGCCAAACTCTGGCACTAAGCAGCGAGCCAGAGGGCAGGGCTTCCCCACCCCCACTTCTTGGTCCTGGTTCCTCGCGCTCTGAGTCAGACACTGTGCTTGCTGTGTCCCCATGGGCCTCTCCACCTGGCAAGGTGAAGGCCAAGGGAGCCCTGGTGTCCACTTTCCTTTCCTGCATCTGGGCAGTCTGGGTGGCCTGCGGTGGAGACTGGGAGAAGAGCTGCCCCTGCCTTTTTTTGGGAGAACCAAGAGACTGGGATGGTGAGGGGAGCTGGGACAGAGTCACGTGAGACGATAACTCCCAAAGGAGCTGAGGGTGGGGGTGGGGGAGGCTGGCTCTGTGACATCTGAAGGGAGTGAGCTTGTTCTTTGTGGTCCAGTAAGTAGGAAGAAGGGGAAAAGAGTGTTCTGGGCTCAGTGTATGATGATTCTTTGGGCAGATGGAACGTTGTAAGATAGGATGGGCTGCTGAGGAGTTAGGGAGCCCTCTGTCCCTGGAGTATGTGAGCAGAGGTTGGTGACCACACTGGGAGGGGCCTGGCAAAGCACTGGAGGCTTCTCAGAAACAAACGGCCCTGGACTGCATGGCTCTGTGAATCTCCGGGTGGGCTGAGAGGTTGTCCAGGCCTCCAGGTTCCTGCTGCCCTGCCCCCATCCCGGGGTGGAGAACTGCCCCAAGTAAAATACTCGGGATCCCACCTCTCCACCCCCTCCTCCAGCTTCCTAGCAGAACCTGATAGGGGAATCCCTGGACTAGAATGGAAGGAAGATCCTTAATGACCTAAAGGTTGTGCCATCAAGCAGCCATTGGTGCTTGGACTCCTTGAGCAGCCACTTCAGGGTTGCCAGGCAGCGCAACATTATACTTGGGAAGGTGAGCACTGAAGTTGGACCACCCCCCTTCTCTGTCCTGTGTCCTAGTCCAGCGCTGCTACTAGTAAGTGATGTGACCACTGGCAGATCACCGAACCTCTTTTCATGTCCTCATCGGTATCCCCTCCTCAAGATGAGGGTAATAATAGCATCTTTCTCTTTCTGTGATGCCTGTGAAGTGTTTGTGGGAGTTGCTGGCACATGCTAAACTGTCAGTAAATAACTCTTATTTTTATCTCAATACTGCACAGTGGTAATAGGGATTTATTCGTTCATTCATTCAGTCAGTCAGTAACAAATATTTATTAAGTCTTACTTCATACCGGGCACTGTGCTGACACTGGGGATACAGAAATAAATAAAATAGAAGAGGTCTCGGCCCTCCTGGGCAGGCAATCTGCAGGGAGAGACTGATAAGTGAAAAGGAAACTCAAACACAAGGGGGCTGGTTTAAATAGGTGGTTGGGGAAGCTTCTGCAGGAAGTGGCCTGTGAGCTGAAAGACCCAGTCAGCCTGGGGAAGAGGTAGGCAGAGTTCAGGCAGAAGGCCCTGAGGAGAATGGGCTCAGCTGGGTGCCTTCGAGGAATGGAAAGGAGGTGCAGTGTGTTCCCTGGAAGAATGTTCAAGAGTTAGTCCAGGGCACATCCTAGAGACCACAGTGAGGGGCTGAGGTTTGATTCTAAGTGCAGTGGGAGAGCTCTTACACCGAAGGGGTTTAAGCAGCGATGGGATGAGAGGTGCATTTAAGATGCACACTCTGCCCGTCTGTGAGGGGCTAGAGTGGAGACCAGAGATGACCATTAACATCCAGAGAGCCATTTTAATGGTTTTCAAAGCTTTCACAAACATTGTCTCACAACTTACTTTAAATGCAGTCTGGGAAGTCCAAGGTGTGGAATAAGAATTGCTTCTCTGTCTCCGTAGCTCAGAGAAGGATTCCAAGGAGAAGCTGCAGAGCCAGGAAATGGCAGAGGACTTTGAATTCCTCCTCAGTGGAGAGGAGGGGGCCACCTGGGAGGCCAGAATGCATCCAGACAGATGTCAGAGGGCCAGTTCCCATCCTTAGTAGTTAGAGGGGACTCTGCCCCCAGGAGCTACTGGGGGCAACTCCTCTAGGGGGCACAAGTATGGGACCCTGCTGATGCCCATATAAAGATGCCTGAGATGGGGCAGTGGCGGGGGCTGCTTCCCAGTAGGGGACGACCCCCTGCTGTTCCTCACTGCTGCCTTCTGGTCCCCCAGCTGCCTCTGGGACTGTCCTTCTCAGGGTCAGCCAGTTCCCTGCTGCAGTGCAAGGCACCAGCATGCTCATCTCCTCCCACATCCTGTCCCCCACCACAGCCAGCCTGGCCCTGTGCCCCTTGCCTTGCCCTCCCGACCAGCTTCCTGACTCGCAGATACTGGCTTCCACCCTGAGAGCCCACAGCTCCTCTGCTGTCTCTGTCCACCTCAGCTTGAGAATGTCTTTCTCTGCTCACTGTGTGGCCAGGTCTGACATCACCAGCTTCATGTACACTCGGTTCAGTGGGGCTGCAGCCACCTTTCCTGGGGGCTGCCCAGTCCAGGGTGCCCTCCCCAGTGTGGGTACAGAATGGGGTCTGCTGCCTCCTCTCCACCCTGCCCTCCCTCTTGCAGGTGTCTCTTCTCAGATAGGGGTAGACACCCCCACTCTCACTGGGCACCTTCCAAGAGATCAGAGGGCTGGCTGGATGCCAGGCACTGAAGGCTTGGTACCAAGGTGTAGAGGTGGGGCCCTGCCCTAAGGTGGCTGTCCGTCCGACATGTGAGATGACTGCCCTGCTCTGACGGGGGAGGGGAGGGGCAGGAAAGACTCAGCCCAATGGTCCAGAGTATCTGAAGGCCTTGGCTTCTCTCCTGCTTTACGTGTGACCATTTCCTAGTCCCCTTCCATGAATAATAATAATAAGGATGACAGCATTTACTGAATGCTGAGCCTATGCCAAGAGCTTTTCATTCATTCATTCATTCACCAAACATTTATTGACATTCTTCTGGGCTCTAGGAATACATCCGTGAGCAAAACAACAAAACACTTTGTCCTCATGGACATGACATTGCTTAAGGGGAGAAACACAGAAGAACACAATATACACTTATACACAGAAATACACTTCAGGACGAGAGGTGGTAATAAGTGCTATGGGAGAAACAAAGTGGAGGATGAGGGAGGGCTGGAGTTTTAAATACAGTGGTCAGGGTGGCCTTCCTGAGAAGATGCCACCTGAGCAAGGAATTGGAGGCAGGGAATTCCAGGCGCAGGGGACAGTGAATGCCAGCTGGGATGGAAGGACCTTGAGAAGGCCATGGTGGCTGGAGGAGAGTGAGCATGAGGAGACGTTAGTAGGAGATGAGGTCAGAGACTGGAGGGGCAGGGAGGGGGCAGCCAGACACTGCTCACATAGCCTTCCTAGGTTCATGCCAGGGCTCTGTCCTCAGAGAGGGAACTGTGGGTGGCTTCAGGCAGAGCTAAGGTGAGATGGGACTGGTTTTAACAGGAATACTGGCTACTGTAATGAGAAGGGATGATGGGAATCCAGAGTAACAGCAGGGATTCCAGGCAGGGGTGGTGGTGATGGAGGTAGTGAGAAGTGGTCAAATTCTAGAGGTATTTTGAAGGTAGTCCCAACAGGATTTACTGATGATGGAGTTGGAGGAAAACATGACAAAGTGTTTTGTCTGAGTGACTTGAAGAATGGAGTCGCTATTAACTGAGATGGGGAAGACTGAGGTAGGAGCTGGCTGCGGGGAGATCAGGAACTCGCTGTTGGATTTGTGCAGTTGGTAGCAAGCTTCCAAGGGAGGCATCAAGGAGGCTGGCAGCTAAATACATGAAGGTTCAAGGAAGAGAGAGAAACCTGGGAGTGGATGGAGTTAAGAGACTGAATGAGGTCACCTGGGAAGCTCAGACAAGGACATCCCCAGGGTGGCCTTGGGAGATAAGGAAGGATCAGTCTAGAAGGCTGATAAGGAGTGGTCATGGAGGCAAGGGGCATGAGAAGCACCAGGAGGGCATCCTAGAAGCCGGGGGGGAGGGTGCTTCAGAGGCTGTGGTCCAGCGAGTCATGCTGCTAGGCCAGGCCAGAAGAGGACTTGCACAGAGAGTGGAGAGAGGAAGGGGACAGCTGGTGGAGACAGCTCTTCCTAGCTGCATTATCTCATGCTCTATCTCACCGGACACTCACACTTCCCTCCTGTGTTTTATAGCTGAGGGAACCCGCTCAGGGAATGTAGGTAACTGGGGGAGTGGCAGAGCTGGGCAGGGGGCCCTGGTGATAGTCACACAGTGCCTCTCGCTCCTCCATCCCTTCTGTGTCTCATCTTCCAGACACCAGCCAGACGTCCTATGTGCCACCTACACCGCCGGGCACTGAGGAGATGGTGCTGATGTGACAGCCTCTCCCCAAGGAGTGTGGTGTGCTAGAACGTCCCACTCCCAGGCAATGAGGGTGGCTTCACACATGAGGACTCAGGGCTGGGTCTTGGAGGATGGATGGGATTTGGTCAGGCAAGGAAGGTCACAAAAGGGGGACAGGGAAAGCTGGGAAGAGGGTGGGCATATACACTTTGAAGTGTGATGGGACCATCTAGGGAAGTGTCTGGGTGTGATGAAGAGGATGCAGGAGCCAGAGAGCAGGGCTGTGGAGGCGCAGCACTCAGCTTTCCCTTCGAGAGAGACCTGCCACAAGGAGCAGTGAGTTGCCAGCCTGCAGCTGCAGGTTGTGCCTTCAGGCTCTGCCTCAGCCTCCCAGCCATGGCCAAGCACCTCCTGGGCCACCCCCAGCTCTGGTACCAGAGCTCCCATCTCCAGGCTGTCTCTGCCCTGGAGCTTCCCGTTAGCTGGCCAAGGTCCTCTCCAAGCTGAGCTGTTGTCTGAAGCTCTTCCTTCCCCTTCCTTGCACGGATGTCAGGCCAGCTTGGTGGTCTGAAGTCTTTCCCTGCTGGCTCCTACTCCTGCCTCCTTATTGTCCAGAAGTGTGACCCCCCCCCGGTGAATCTCTTGCACTCTGACTCTCTCTTGGTCTTTGCTTCCCAGAGAACCGGACCAATAACGAGGTCTTAGATTTCACCTCTGTCCTCCCCACTGGGCAAGACCCCTTTGCTCTGTTGCGGCCTCAGCACGCCCACGTGGAAATACTGTATCGGCGGAATGCTTTCCCTCTGAAGAACACTGTCTTCCCAGCCAGGCCCGGTGGGAGTGCTGGGTGGACACTCTTGTGTCGTCTGCAGGGTCTTTGCACACTTCTAATAAATGTGGATGTTGATTTTCATATTTGCTGAAAAAGAAAGTGGTATCTGAATCCAAAGCACAAAAGAGATACAGTGCCCTGTGATCTGTGTGGCAGCGGGAACGTGGGTGCGATGGTGCCACAGGGGAGGGCGACATTTCCTCCCTGGCCGGTTAGGGAGGCCTCCCGGCAGAAGTACTGTTTGTGCAGAGTCCTCGGGTGAACAATGCTTTTCTAGACAAAGGGTGGCAGGGGCTTCTAAGCCTGAGGCCAACAGGGAGCTAAAAGCAGGAGGAGAGTGACTGTCCCAGTGACCTGTCTGCCTATCTTTTACAGAAAGGAAGGCAGAAGAAGCCACGGCCGCTAGACCCCGGCGAGGGCTCCAAGGACACAGACAGCTCAGCTGGGCGGAGGGGCAGTGCAGGCA